CTGCGCGTTCCTGCAGAGTTTCTCTGAGGGGAAACGGAGAGAGTGAATTTGCATTTCGTCGACCCTCCCCGTCTCTTACCCCTTCTCTTTTCAGCGCTGCCATTGTTTGGCCCGGTTGGGGTCCTTATTCGCACAAAATCCTCAGCTCAATGCCTTGAATGGTGGTGTGGGATGAGCCAGAGGAGCCAGCTGTTCACGTCCAGCAACAAAATCACCGCATTCATCCTGGAGTGGGAACAGATTTGAAGGAATTTCTGAGAGTTTAGATTAAAAATAAAAAAAAGAAAAGAAAAGAAATGTAATTGTTATATCAGAGTGTCTAGTGTACGATTTGAAGTAGGACAAGAAGTCTGGAAAAATATAGAATGAATTTTCAGACTTTTCAAAAAAAATTCAGAAACGTACAAAAAAAAAATCTGGATAATAAAAGTAATATGAACTCAAAACACTACGGTGTTACAGTACATCTGGTGTCTGTAGACGTTTTCTTATACTCTGCGCTAAAACGTCATCGTTTCTGTTTTAATCGCCTTTGAAAAATAAAAAGAGGACTAACCCGAGAAAATCTGTAACTTGAAAACAACAAATTTTGGAAAAGTCCCAAAAAGTTCTGGAATTTTTCACGGTGCTTAGTTTTGTTTTTTGTTGTTTAGTTCTAGTTTACAATAATAAACCTTTTTTTATTGTAAAGATGGGGATATCATAAATGATTTCAATAAATAAATAAATAAATAAATACCAATAAAACATGAACACAGATTCCTTTCTTGTTGCATGAAGTACTTAAAGTGTGCATATGATGACACTGTCGTCAAAAAGACAAAAAAGGGGTTGAATATTTAGCAATCCCAAATACTATGTTTTCTAAACACCGTTCATTTCCACTAATAACCTGTATCCATATCCGATTTAAATATTGTCACCAGGAAGGATTTTATATCAGTATACTCTGTTACTAATGAATGCCAACCTTCTCTGACCGCTCATTGTGAATGAAATACTTCCTTTAATCACAAGATGGCGCTGAGCGCTATGGAGAATGAGAACTAAAGCCGTGGACCTGCTGACCGGGCCGCCTCTCAAGGTCTGAGGGGCTGAGGAAAAGGAGAACTCTACCCTGAAACACAATAAATATCTGTATATAAAGAAACCTGTGGTGTGTTTAGTGCGTCAGGTGCGAATGTGATACCTGGTGCTGTGTTGATGTTGATGTTGTTGATGGCGTTGATGTTGATGGCGTTGATGTTGATGGCGTTGATGTTGATGGCGTTGATGGCGCGTTGATTCGAGTGAAAGTTGAAGCTTTGGAAGCTGATCTGTTTGAGCAGATTGTACAGATGAGGAGGCGAGAGAGACGGACAGACTACAGCACTAAAGCGCCGCTGCATCGCGCTCTCTAGGTAGAGATCAGCAGGCAGTCGCATGGCATTGTGGGTAATGTAGGAAACTGTTAAAAAATGAAGTTGAACATGACATTAAATTATACAAGTTTAACATGTGATTTTTTTCTCTTAACGAAGAACGAACCAAAACATAAACGAGATTTTTTTCTTTTTTGTATAAAAATGATATATATGTTTCCTGACACAAGTTAAACTGTACATACAGAACTGACTGAAATTTAACTCGTAGAGGTGTCACACAGTGTGTGTGTGAGTGTGTGTGTGTTTGTGAGAGAGTGTGTGTGTGTGCTTCTCCTGAAAGTATTTGTTAATGATTATCTATTGAACTTCAGTAAAAAGAAAAGAAAAGAGAAGAATCGCCTTTAATCCACACAGATTAAACTAACGCTCAGTTTAACAGCGCGCGCAGTTACTAAACTTCAGGTAGCAGTTAGCTAGTTAGCTTCAGTGCTAATATATACGAGCTTAACATTGTCCTTTTAAAGTTTTCTTAGCTTAATATAAATACCTAACATTACAAATAGCGGAGAGAGACTAAATACTGATAATAACAACCACTTTAACAACTTTTTTTAATGATTATTATTACCTCAGTTTCTTACTTGCGCGTTTTCTCTGAGGTAAAAGTTCGCTACGAATCGGTTCCAGGAATCGGCTCTTTGAATCAGTTGTGTGAATCGGTTGTTTGAATCAGCTATATGAGTCGGCTCTTTGAATTAGCTCTGCAACATGGCTCTTTCAAGGTGAACTTTGGGAGTCGGCTCACAGTTCAGAAGAGCCGTTTTGGTGATTTGATGAAAAATAACGGTCTAAAATCATATAATACACAAACATTACAACATTACAATGGTCTGAAAACGGTTTGTGCAGGACTTCCCAAAATTATACACCTGAAAAAAAACGACCACTTAAGTGACAACTTTTATTTTGTGTAAAACTACAATCATGCAGGGCCATTCCTGGACATTCAGGGGCCCTAAGTGACCACTGATTCAGCCTACTCACTCATGTCATATTATTATGCAAGAATAAATAGAATTACTACTTCATTTTCTTGGATGAGGGGAAAACAGTTTACTAAAAAAATATTTTAAAAAATAAAATAATAATAATAACAACAATTGAACAAAAAAAACATACGCAGGGAATTCAATTTCTATACAAGTAAATTATATAAATAAAATAATTGAATAAATAATCAGAAATTGAAATAAATATGTAGTAAAAAAAAATTGAGGTAAAGAATAATAACCATTACAATAAAAATGTGTGAAACGACTAAATTGCACATTTAAATAACAAATAAAATTAAAATAAAAAATACATAATAAATAACATAAAAATACATTTAAAAAATTGGAATGCACTTTTTCCTACACATTTCAACTTAATTTTTTTTAAAGCAAAGTCATCAAACACATTATTATATGAAATAATTGTATAAATAATTATATTGAAATAATATATAAAATAACTACATGCTTCTCTTTTTGTGCTTTTACGTCCCAGATCATATGAACGCTTTGTTACATTAGCTACCTAATTTAGTAATGTAAATGCAAAAAACCTAGTGTGCGTATTTATTAATGTTTTGGGGGGATATCATTATTTAAAAATCACGGCGCCCCCTGGTGGTCCGGGGGCCCTTAAGTGACCACTTACACCGCTAGCAAGAAACAGCCCGGCAATCATGTATCAAAATAACAACAATGAAAAATAAATACTGAGGAAAATGCATGAAAGACGTTGTCTACAGACTGCACATACACACACGTAGAATGATTTCAGTACAGCACACGGTGGATTATTACCTCCTTTTAAACCTCTGACTTAATCCCTGACATTTCCACCCTACAGAAAATTCCTTGAAATGAATGTTCTTTTTTTTATTATTCCAGCTCACACAGTGTCACGGTGTCATCGACCCGGAATCCTGGATACAGGGCCTCGGTGAATGTCGTGTGAAATGTGTACGTGTGATGCACCCTATCATCAGAGATGATAAAATAGGAGAGTGTACCAGCCTGCCAGTCTAAATAGATACCCATTCTTCTGGAGGGATTGGGTGGAGGAGATACCACCGTCTCCTTGTTATTGTAACCAGCGTAATAACCATAGTTGTTGGAACAGAACAGAATCCAGGATATATTATTCATCCCCAGTTTGCAGTCATTGCTGCGACCTTTTCTGTTGATACCTTTGTACGTCACACCATTGTAAATGTTATTGCCGGTCCACTCCGTTTCCCAGTAGAAGCGCGCACCTCTCAGGGACTCTCTGCACAAAATCTGGGCGTAATACTCAAACCGGTCCGGATGGTCCGGGTACGAATATTGACTTCGAGTCCTTGTCACCTTTTTGTCACCACTCAGAGTCATAGTTCTGTGTGCAGTGTTTGGATCCAGGGTGAGCTCACAGGCGTCTGCAGAAAAAGTGGCTCAAAATCAATTCTCCAAAATATTTGGCCTATTACACTGTATTACAGATCTGTAGCGAACATTCGGTATGGAACTTTAGATCTTAAATAGAACTTAAAAGAACGTGACTAACATAAAATGAACTACAAAAACTAAATAAGACAATCTTACAAAGCGTTAATATAACACGATATGTCATTAGAATGTGCCCTCATGTTGGAAGGTACTCTGTTAAACCCAGTTGTGTATGTTCTTACATTTCTTTAGTCCGGGTTTGATCCTGCACTCGCCACAGTGGTCCAGACTATAAAAAGAACAAAGAAGTCGTGTAAGAGCGGTGATCATTTAGTCTTTGAACACACTAGATTCCCTATGAAACCTTCAAAACTTTTATCTTGTTCGTTTATGAGGTTTGGTCACACTGTTTATGATTCCTCGGTATGATTCATCCACCACCATTTTTTTTCTCCTCTAAATATCTTCTGATTTTTTGATTGCTACCGTGTCCATATGGATAAGGGGAAAAAATTCCAGGCTTGGAAGCTGTAAAAAGCTGGGCTCTAGGACACGAGTATAGTCTATCTCAGATTTTTGGCATTTGTACTCAGACTTGTCTCAGCCTTAGGCACTGGCCTTGCTAAAAATGGTCTTGGTCTACGAAGGGAGCTGGTTTAAAAAAAAATTGTTTTTCTTTTCACATGCACAAAGTTTGTTCTAGAAAGCATAGTCTGTTTAACTTTTGGTCTAATGCACGAATCACGCCAATTAGCTTAGGTAAATAGTTTGAAAAGGATTGCATGGTTTCGACTCGATCTCGACTAGTTCTGGTCTTGGACTTGACAACGCCTGCTTTGACAAGAGCTCTAGTAGAATAGAGTAGCTTTTTCTTCCTTGACTCCACTCACCTCAGTTTCTCCAGGTTAAAGCGTGGATTATCTCGTACAGCAGACAGCTGGCTCACTCCTGACTCTCCCGGGTGATTGTAGCTGAGGTCGAGCTCTCTGAGCCGTGAGTGATCTGAGCTTAAAGCTGAAACTAGAGCGGAGCAGCCGTCTTCTGTAACACAACACCCTGAAAGACTGCAGAGGAACAACTATTACGGTTTATTCACAATTAATAAATACACCACCAAACCACACCAATTATAGTTCTAGTGTGCTGCAACAAAAGCTTTTACATGGTATGTGGTAGCTCAGTGGTTAAGACATTGGGCTGCTGTTCAGATGGTCATGAGTTCAAACCCCATCACGGCCAAACTGCCACTGATGGCCCCTGAGCAAGGCCCTTAACCCTCAACTGCTCAGATGTATAAATGAGATAAGTGTAAGATGTAAGTTTATGGCTCTGGAACATGGATCTGGAATTTCAGCATAATAACTCCTTTGATAATGTAGACCAGAAAACCCAGTTTTTGCACTGCTGTGTGCCTTTAACTCACCCCAGTTTCTGCAGTGAGCATCCTGGATCCTGAAGACCAGTGCAAAGCTGCTTCAGCCCTGAATCTTTCACATCGTTGTCTCTCAGCTCCAGTTCTGTCAAACGAGTGTGGGAACTCAGGACCGAGGCCAGGTTTGAACAGGACCCCTCTGTGAGATTACACCATCGCAGACTGCAGCACAGAAAAGAAATTAATCATCAGTAGTTTGTTTCTTGTACACACAATAATGTCCATATTAATTCTGAACAAAAACTGATCACTATGATCCAAAAAGTCTGAAACTCTGCTAATATACTAGCATTTTGTTAACTTGTTAACTCCCAAACAAGATTCCTTAATTCTTTGCTCACATAAACGAAAATGTAAACATAGTATTCACCTGAGACTTTCGAGGGAGCAGTTCGGGCTGGATAATCCAGCACAGAGCAGTTTCACTCCTGAATCTCCAATGTAATTGTTGCTGAGATCGAGCTCTCTGAGGTATGGATTTTCTGACTGTAGAGCCAAGGCCAGAGTTTCACACGACTCATCTGGGATGCCGATATCAGCAAGTCTACAGATGAGCAAATACATAGATTACTGATCACCAGTTCTGATCCTGGAGATCTACAGTACGTCGATCCTGAAATCAGTTCTAATTTAATCCAACACACCTGCTACGGATTATCAGTCTACTTGTTTTGCTGGACGTTCCCTGCTCAATTAGGCTGGGAAATGATTTCTTTCCCCATTTTTCTCCAAAATTTTGTAATTGGCCAATTTTTCGAGCTATCGCGTCACAAGGCAGCGTTACACACTCGGAGGAAAGTGCTATCCACCCTCTTCCGCATACATGAGCTAGTGTGGAACTAAACTTTATAGGAATGTCAATCTTCAGAAACAAGTTTACACTGAGTTTGGAAAAAAACCAAAACCATGTGATGGTAAACCTTATACTCTTGAGTTTACAGCCTGGATCCATCAGTCCAGTAGAGAGAAGTTTTACTCCGGAGTGGCCGAGGTTGTTGTAGCTCAGATCCAGTAACTCCAGTTTACAGTTGGGATGTGTTAGTCCGTCACAGAGCTGTTGCACTCCAGAGTCTCCTAGATTGTTGTAGCTGAGATCCAGCTGTCTCAAGCGCGAGTTGGGTGACTGAAGAACCGTTTTCAAGGCTTCACATGATTCATGGCTGAGGTCACATCTGTCCAACCTATCGCGTAACAGAAACTATTTCAGATTGTTTTTTAAGTTGTTACCATAACTCATTTTACTTTCGGATGTTCAGCGATTGACAAAACTGACCGAATGGAGATTACTTTAACCTAACCTGAGTTTCTCAAGTTTACACTGCAGACTAATCAGTCCAACAGAGAGAAGCTTCACTCCGGAGTCCTTTAACTCTTTATTGCAGCCGAGGTCGAGCTCCTTCAGGTGCGAGTTAGCAGATTGGAAAACTGAGGCCATTAATTCGCAAGACTGTTCTGAGAAGTTTGTTCCAGCCAATCTGCAAACAGGTGAAAAGCAGAAAAACATACACACATCTGTTTCAAAGTTGGTTATAAAATGAATAAGATTCTACGGGAATAATTTCGTTTCTCATACTCTATTTGCAAAGCTTCAAGACATCGCATCAAGTGCCATTACTATTGCAAACGAGCAAAACAGTTACCGACCCGAGAGTCTGCAGTTTACAGTGTGGACTCATCAGACAGTCGCACAGCAGCTTCACTCCTATATGTTCGAGCTCGTTGTGACTGAGAGTCAGCTTCTCCAGTTTGCTGTGTGGGTTTGAGAGGCCGCTACAGAGAAGTTTCACTCCTAAATCTCCCAAACTGTTAAAGCTGAGGTCCAGTTCTACCAGGTGGGAGTTAGCAGACTGGAGAATGGAAGCCAGGGTCTCACAGGATTCGTCTGTGAGGTTGACGCCAGCAAGACTGTGGAGGGTCGTGAGATAGAATGAAACAGATCAATGAGATTTCAACTAAAACGACATAAGTTGGAAGTGAAACACAAGAAAACACAAACATCAACAATGCAAGTCTAAGCATGACGCATGACGCATTACCCATGACCCATGACCATGACCATGACCCATTCCCATGACCCATGCGACGCAACGTAACGCAACAGACACCAGGTAACACAGGACAAACGCTATACAAGGGAACATACAAAAACCAGGGCTTAAATACAGTGCTCATTAGGTGCAATCAGGAACAGGTGTGTGTGATCAGTGGGGTCATGTGATGTGCAGAGGCTGATGGGTAATGTAATCCATTGCTGATTTCAGCGCTAACATGACAAGAAACTGCTAGTTTTAATTCTTTATCATTCCCCAGTAGATTAGTACAGAATAATTGGCTTACATACCATAACCATACTGTAACTATAACAACGCTCTTGCCACTCAAGTATTAGCTGACTAGCTAACTAACCTAGCTTTCTCTCAGAAATCTTCTCAGATTCGGTAGATCCAACAGAGCAAAATTGGCTGTGCTCTCTGGTTGGGAGGGGCATCCTCACACTCCTGTGATTTACAGTGACACTAGCCAATCAGGGACATCTGTGAGGTTGTGTATGGAGAAGGGGGCAGATAGCGCTTTCCTCTGATTGTCACGCAACAGTTGGAAAAAAGATTTGGCTTCACAGAGCCAGCACATGTTTACTGTTGTAGATGTTGTGTCATAGGAGAAAGTAAACTAATGGGTGGGAATTTGCAAGACCAAATTCCGGGAGGAAAAATACAACCGAACAATATTTTGTAGCATATTTCAAAGGCTGTTTCAGACCTGTATCTATACTATAATAGTATAATGCTAAAATTTTAGATTTCCTTATACAGGTATTGCATCATCATCTCTCTATTACTACATTACCTTGATGTAATGCTTATGATTCGGACAATTCTGCATAGAAACTTACCTGGCTCTTCTCGAAGTCTTGACAACTGGTAACAGTCTCCGATATCCCTCAGGAGACGTGTTACACATCTTCAAGTCAAATTCATTCATCACCTCCTCTGACGTTAGCAGCACATAGGCCAAAGCTGAGCACTGGTCCGGTTTAAGCTCCGTCTCTGACTGCGTGCCTGATCTCATGAAACTACGGATTTCTTCCACCAACGAGTTGTAATGCAGTTCATTCAGACAGTGGAACAGGTTGATAGTCCTTTCTGCTGACGGCTCCTTTCTGATCTTCTCCTTGATGTAATCCACTGTTTCTTCCAAACTCTCCAAACACGGTTTTGAGAGCACGCTTCTCAAAAGAGCCCGATTGGAGTCGAGCGAGAGGCCGAGAAGAAAGCGCAGGAAAAGGTCAAAGTGTCCGTTCTCGCTCTTCAACGCTCTGTCCACAGCGCTCTTGTGCAAATCTGACATCTTTACCGTCTCACTCTGATTCTCGGTGTCTTCTTGGAGTACGTTTATGTGACTGTCTGTAAACTGAAGTTGCACATAGACAGCAGCTAAGTGCTCCTGAATGCTCAGGTGTACAAAGCAGAAGACCTTCTCTCGGTACAATCCGTACTCCTCTTTGAAAATTTCTGTGCAGATTGCAGAGTACTCGGTTGCTTTGCTAACGTCGATGTCGCATTCGGTCAAATCATTATCGTAGAAAATCAGATTTTCTTTCTTTAACTGCAGAAACGCTAGCTTGGCCAGTTTGAAGATCATCTCTCTGTCAGATTCGGGCAGGTCCATGTTGTCCTGAATCTCTCCGTGGTATTTCTCGTTTTTCAAATGTGTCTGAATGAGAAGAAAGTGGGTGTACATCTGGGTCAGAGTTTTAGGTACTTCCGTGTCTGATTTGTCCAACATCTTGTCCAGAACCGTGGCAGATATCCAGCAGAAGACAGGGATATGGCACATAATGTGGAGGCTCCTTGAAGACTTTATGTGTTTAATGATTTTGTCAGCGAGGCCTTGATCATTGAACCTCTTTTTGAAGTACACCTCTTTCTCCGAGTCGTTAAAGCCTCGGACCTCGGTAACCTGGTCAACGCACTCAGGAGGGATCCGATTGGCTGCTGCTGGTCGAGAGGTAACCCAGAGAAGAGCAGAGGGAAGTATATTTCCCTGAATGAGGTTTGTTAGCAGGACATCCACCGAGATTTTCTTTGTCAGGTCGCAGCACATTTCGTTGTTCGTGAAATCCAGGGGAAGTCGACACTCGTCCAGGCCATCAAAGATGAACACGGTTTTCACTTCCTCGCTCCTTATAGTTTTGAGTTCTTTAAGTTCTGGAAAGTACACATGAAGAAGCTGCATGACACTATACTCATCGTTCCCCTTCAAATTCAGATCGCGGAAAGGAAGTGGGAAGATGTAATGGATATCCTGGTTCGCATTTCCTTCTGCCCAGTCCAGGATGAATTTCTGTACAGACACAGTTTTCCCAATCCCAGCGATGCCCTTGGTTAGCACGGTCCGAATGCGTTTGTTCTGTCCGGGTAAAGGTTGAAAGATATCGTTGCATTTGATCACAATCTCCTCCATTCCCTTGTTCTTGCACGCATCCTCGATCTGTCTGATCTCATGTTCTTTATTGACAGCTCCATCCCCTCCTCCTTCTGTAATGAGAAGCTCGGTGAAGATGTCGTTTAGAAGAATCGCATTCCCCTGATGAGCATTTCCTTCACGTATGCTCTGGAATTTAGATCTAAGATGATCCTGTAGATTAGATCTGACATGATCTTGGATGGTCTTATGACTGTTCGCTATGAAAAGAAAAGATGAACCAATCAAATAAATTGACGAGTTTAGACCACGTTCATTGGAAAAACGGCAATAAACAGATGCTTGATCTTACCTAACTCCAACATGACCTTTAGCGCAATCT